TTTATTTTATTATATTTTATTTTATTTTTATTTTATTTTATAGATTTATTTTATTTATATTATTTATTTGTTTTCTGGGATCTTTTTGATCTCACAGTGCGCAATAAGGATTAATATTATTAATACTCTCTTTATATGTCAAAAAGAATCTGTCCATATGTATAACAGCAAATTGCTTCAACCACTATCAACTCTACCAAGTTTTTGTCCAACACCTATGCGATATTCTTACAATTAATGAAAATGCATTAGCATTAGACAACAACTAGGCGGGCGTATACGCAAACTGCATGCATATCTACTAGCAGGTCTCTCTATTAGATTGTCCCAGGTGTGAAAGTTCAGCGCAATCGTAGCAGCGTCATTTCCGGCGGGGGAGTTGACGCAATTTAGTTAATGTGCAATTTTGCCGACACAGAAACTGGTGAAATCGATTATGACAATTGATCGTAATCCTCGCGCGACAGCTTGTATCTCAAGTGAAACTTTTCCCACACTGTGGGTAATCCCCGGGCCGAAGTTTCGAGCAGCTATCCCCCACCGTGCACGGATCAATCCCCTCGAAACCATTTGTTTGTTACTTCTTATTTTCGCGATTACTCGGCGAGGCCACGTTTCTCCTAAGATTAATCTCCGAGGATGTAGAAATTCAAGCGTAACGGGACGCCTGGAGACTCCGGAAATCCGCTGTGTAAGGTCCGGAGAAAAGCTCCGACGATTCAAGGATCCAACAATAAGAGTCGAAAGTTTGGGGACACGTAACTTCATCTGGCTGCAATACGCGCGCGTGCACGATAAAGAGAGAAAGAGAGAGGCAAGAGAGAGAGAGAGAGAGAGAGAGAGAGAGAGAGAGACAGAGAGAGAGAGAACAGTATTAGGGATTTGTATAAATGTACAAGGCGGTGAAAGGTGCCGCGTGGGATCGTCTCCGTGTGTCGGACAGATAAAGAAAATGAGCTCCGCCGTATCTGTTTTTCCCTCGACTTGCTTCCCGGTACGTACGTTCTCCTTTTCCCCAGCCGGCCGACCGGCTGTCTCATCCCCGTGAGGAAATTGCTGAGCTTTATCGGGCATGATCCGCTGAATGTGAGAAATGTTATTTGCCCAATTTTCCTTGTATCGAGCGGATAATCGATGTCGTTTGCAACGTCGCTCGTGTAACGCGCGCCACATCCTACACTTTTCAGGCTTGTTTGGCGAGCCCCGCGGTCGTAAATAAGCTCTCTTTCCAAGATAGTAACACGTCGCATTTAAATTCCCAAATGTGCTATGAAGCATTTCAGATTACATCGTGAGAGCAACGGAAGTTGCTATCACGGCGCGTGAACGGTAATAAAATTATACAACCCTGTAGATATTCGTCCGGGCGAGTCGCGTATATTTCAGCCGGCAGGAAGGGCGGCTGTGTAGCATCAGTTGATTATGACGGATTTCCAGCCGCTCCTGTAAGTTGCGATTGGATGTAAATTATAAATCGAGAGTCGGAGTGGCCAATTATAACAATTGATTTCGCTCAATTACCTGCTCCTGCCGTTCTACAAAATTGCGTTAACTTGTCTCGCGTCGAGTGGCTCGCTTTCACGATCGCGTCGCGTCGTGAAAAAGCGGTCAAAGAGGAGAAATTTAGCGGAAAGAGGAGTAATAATTGTTCCAAAATACGGGGAGAACGAAAGGACGCTTTTATCGCACGTTTATCTCGTTTTGTCTAACTCGGCCAATTATTCATATTTGGAGACAGAACACCAGCATGTTACGACCCGTATATGTTACACGAGTAGTGAAAATAAGATAAAAATCCACGACTGGCGCGCGCGTCACAGTTAAAATAACATAAAGATACGCCACAAGATATCACGCTGAATACGTAAAATGCAAAATATCAACGTCTCGCGCATTTAATCCGTCCAAACGAACTCGTGGCGGTCGCAAATAATTGGACGCCGCTAAATAAAGTAACGTTTTATGAAAAGTTACGGACGGGCAGCCTTAATTAAGGCGGCCTCGCCGAAAAACGCGCTTACTCCCAGAGCGTCGGTGAAGAATCGGGAAAATGCCTGATACGGCGCCAAGTCGTAACGCGTGCTCTCTTTTTTGTTCTCCCATTTCGTCCCTCACTCCTCATTTCTTACCCTCGTTTCCCCTTCACCGCGAGGCCGAAATCCCGTTCTGATTTATCCGTCAGTAATTTCTCTCTTAACGTAAATCCTCCCGTAGCCTGTTTAAGAAATCTGCATGTTTATTAACCGCCGTAACGGTATACTCAGAGAGTCGGAGTTTCTTTTTTCGTATCCCCGAATCCCCGAATTTTTGGCCCACCAACTGTCTCACGACAATGGAGAATTTTACGTTTCGCTTAAGACAGATTTACTCCGAGACCGTTAAAAACGTGAGAGTACCTCCCGACCACGCTAGGGAATATTCTACGGACAAATTTCTCTGCGTTTAGCTTCGACGTATCAATCTTTTAAGACCCAATGTATGTACACAATATCTACCTTCCCAAATCTTCTTATACTGGCGATGTATGTGAGGATTCTATCGATATAATACTATCGATCGATCCTAATTATAGCTGTAACCTTCGTCCCGACTTGTGAAACAGTGATTTTCTCGCTGAAGTAATCGACGTGGCAATCGTGTGCCTCGAATCGTTGAAGTCTCGAAATTGTATAAAGTTTTTCATGAAAAGCAGTGAACAAATTTTATTTTCTCAATTTTTCATCGATGTCATCTCAGAGTTGGCACTTTTGTGTTCGTTAACATGGTTATAAGAATTACTAAATTCTACAGCTGCACACACAGAAAGAAAGAATATTCTTATTTCGAAGATATCTTTATTTCTAACATGTAAATCTTAAAATAAGATTATATAGCGTTAAACGAAGATTTACTTGCATCAATACGTTCAATGATTCAACTAAAAAAAATGTATTCTTATTATTCAAAAACAATTTTCATTTAATGGAAAGCACAAAATATTAGATTGAAAATATAATGTTTTTCAATGTGTGTTATATCCAAATTGTTCTTTTCACTTAAAACTAATATACTAAAATTGACAATCATTGTTTCATATATAAGCAACAATATAAAATTTTGTTAACCAGAAAGTTAATTGTACTTTGTATTGCCCAAATAGATATTTCTCATGTTTAAAACTAAAGTATTCAATACATATAAGATGAATTGTTGCTTTTCCAATTTTTATTTTTCTAAAATAGGTTTGTAATTCTGAAGTCATACTGGGCAGTTACTATCGCTGTTAATATTAAAAAAGCAGCCATATTATGACTTTCACATCACAGAAACAACATTTATATTGGCGATAAATAATAATAAAACTAGGTTTTAACTTCAGAGTTACAGTGAGTAACAGAAGCTTAAAAGAGAGTTTAAAAATCTTGGATTTCAATAATGTAATTTTATTGGATAGTATAATATTTTTCTAAGAAATACAATATGATTATTTTAATAATAATAATATCTTCTTTCGACATTTTAAACATTATATTCTCAATTCAATATTCTGTGCTTTCTATTTGTGAAAATTATTTTTATATAAGAACACAGAATTTTTTATAAAAGAAATCATATAAAACATTTTCTTACGAAGTGACTTGTCTTCGTTTAACGTAATCTCATTTGAAGATGTTACATATCAAAAATAAAGATACTTTTTAAACATGAATGTTCTTTTTCCTACGTATATATGAAACAATAATTGTTAATTTGAATATATTATTTTTAAGTGGATAATTCTTTTTTTGTGTGGAGCACACACGTATACACTGCAAATCCGAGTATGTTATTTTTAAGCATATAAATGTATAATTGGCTGAGTCTATTTTTACACATTTCTTACCGTCTCAAATCGCGTCATTCAACACGTTCAAACGTATAAAATTCTAATTTATACATTATAAACATATTAAATGACGTGATTTAAAACCGCAAGAGACGTATGAAAAGAATTTCAGCCACACGGAGAAAAATCATTTTGCTCTTTCTACTGCATATTCGTAGTGACAACAAAAAAATTTTGTTGACGTAACTAATTTTACAAATTATTCGTTATCAGAGCAAAAGTAGTTTCGTCGCCAGGATAAAATAAATTTATTGAATGTGTTTGTCCTAAGAATCACGTTAATTTGCTATTGATGCAAAATAATGTATCCTCAGCAAATTTGTTTGCTATCGGAGCAAAACTGCAACTGCTTATATAAATCCATCATGGTTGTAATAGCAAAATAATTTGTCGATTCAGCAAATTATATCCAGCAAATAGTGATTAGTACTCTTAGCAAATGTTTTTGCTGTTTATATAATAACAAAAAGATTTTGCTAGACTAGCAGAAAATTTGCTGGGCTAGCAAATTTTCTCCATGCAATTACACGTTTATGCATAAACGTAATATATGTATGCGTAAACGTATAATATATATATTAGCAAATCTTTTAGTTATCACAACTAAATAACTTTGCTATGAAAGCAAGAAAAATTGCTCCTGCAGCTAATATTTTTAGTTGTCCATATATTAGCAAATCTTTTTTTCGTGTGCGTTTAAGAAAAACATACTAGGATTTGCAGTGTATGCCTCATGCATAATGTACATAATGTACATAATTATGTACATTCAGAAAATCGTACTTTTCGACGATCAATTTTATTCAGACCATAAAACATTTCATTAGAAACGCCTCTTGAGACTATTTTAAAAAGAGAAGAATTTGACTCGTAAAGAATATCGATGGCTGAGTCTTAAGGGCTCAACGACATAGGAGAATTTCGCAGATTAGACGTTACTTTGATTAAATTCGCGCCCCAATGTGCTATCTCGGAAGAGCCAGATCAACGCGCTCCCGTGAACAAATTTTCGTAGATTCAGTTATACTTCGTGATCACTGGAGAAGTTCAAAGAAGATCGAACGAAGTCATGGAGCGGTAGAGCGAAGACACCAAAAGATTTACTGACGTAGAAAAATATTCAATTTGATTTCAGGTCAGTTCCGGTGCCATTAAAGTTCGTGGAGACGGTAAAAGACGGAAAAACGCGCACAGGAGAAGGAAGCTGTCCTAAAGGAGCATCCAGCGGAATTAAATAAATAAAATTCTCTTACTACGTACGTTACGCCAGATCGAATCACTTACTTTATTTCCTCCACGTTTCCTCGCGATATTTGTGATTCCTTTCTGCAATTTTCCGCGGTCTCGTAAGATACACAGAACACGCAGCAGAGAGGTATATGTTCCGCATAACATTTCCTTTAATACTCCTCTTGCAAAAAGCAGCCTATGTCAAGTGGATTTATCTGTCTTGACGTATGTTCAATTACTTCGAATCTCTTAAACTCCTCGGATCTTCGAGCCTATTCAGATTCTCGATTTCTGAGATATGTCTTTAAAATTCTAAGGAATTTCAAATCTCTTGAGCTCCTCCCTTTCTCCTTTTCCCTTAATGGAAAGCACAAAATACTGGATTGAGAATATGATGTTTCTAAATGTGTATTATGTGTATTAGCAACGATACACAATTCTGTTAGAAGAATTTTACCATCTTGAGACAAGTATTTGTTGAATTGAATGTAAAATGTCGATGTACTAATAACTTATCTTCGTTCAATGCTATGAAATCTCATTCGAAGATTAACATACTCTCTTAAAGTGAATTAGTGAAATGTTTTGAAGCGTTTAATTCGAATTTTCGTTTATATTTGGTTATCGAAATTGTTTTAGAGTCAATATTATTACAAAATTACATAGTAAAATTTACATATTAATTACATAGTAAAACAATTTCGATAATCAAATGTAAACGAAAATTCAAATTAAACGCTTCAAATCGACCGCCATTTTGGTACCGCCATGTTTGTTGAAAAAAATATTCATGGCATATTTTTTAAGTTAAAGTGTCGGGAACACGTTTTAGACACTTTCCCGAAAGATACTAACACGTTTTTATGGAGAAAATAGCGGAAGAAGAAAAAATTAGTCCTAAAAACATGCGTTTTTAATTTTATTTTGCAAAAATTTTGCATAAATTGCGATTTTTTTTTTATTTTCTCAACGCTGTTCGATAGAGCGACATCGAAATTGGTAGAAATCGTACTCTTTATAAACAACAGACTTCATTTCCGTAGTAAAATAAATGGCTCAAATCAACGTAAAATTTTAGCACATTTGGACGTTAATGGGTTAAAAAAGTATGGAAAATCAAGATATCTTTCAAACGAGGATGTTTTTCCTTTTTGTGTGATATCGTTAAATTTTCCGAGCTTCTAAGCTTTCAGTGACTTTTATGTAATCAAAATGTACGAGTATATTCAAAATTTACAAACCCGACATTCTGTATCGCGACAAATGAAAGGTTTGCCTTCGTTGAAGAAAACAATCCTCAAGTTTTTCCAAAGATAATGCTACGAATGGAAGTACAGTCACTTTAAACGTCCTATAACCTGGGCGTTTGTTTCGCTTGATCTGTCATGGCCATAACGTAATCATAATTCGCTCGTTATCGACATGGACAGCGGCGCCGATATTTTATTCGCGGATTGGAGCTTGAGAAACGTGTCAGTCGGGCGCACTCGAGAGCCGCCCTCTTGAAACTTCCTTACTAAAGACTCACCCTTCCACCATCGGAGCTTTTGCAATTTCGTATGTCTCAGGCGAACAGTATTTTTTTGGCGTCAACAGAATTTTGTCGTCAAAAAGCTCGTTACACACGTACCGACGTGATTATTTTTGCATTCGGTAGCTGCCGAATCTCATTAATGCGCAGTGCATTTTCTAAAGTTGTTGTTTATTTCATACGACCTATAACGCGATATTTGTGCGTAAAATATTATATTCTCGAAATGCCGGATCGCGCATATAATACTCGCGGAACACGGGCATGTATGAAACGCAAATAATGATAAAACATAAGTAACAGCGAGCAATATCGAATGTGCATAAATTAGTCCGGCTCTCGCGACTAGCTTGCAAATAATATGCGTACAAAACATTTCGCAATGGCGTTTAGCGCAGTTCCGGAGGGCTCCCTCTCCATAATCGGCGGCGATTAAACCCGGGGGTGCTCTTCTGCGCGCACACACACACACACACACACATTCCCTTTAGACTATAAAAAAAAGTATACAGAGGAGGCCTTTAAGAGAGACCCGAGTCCTCGTTCCCCGAACGTTGCTCATCCAAGCATCGCCCATTGTTTGTTACCTTATCGAGCGCTTTCGCGAGCTTTTATCCGCGTCACGAAACTCCAAAACACGACACGAGAAATCCGCAACGAAACGGCAAGTAGTGTGCAGTCTCGCACGTATGCACGCGATGGGATATCCGTTTCTCCAGACAGTCTGAGACCCCCCCGGCCGGGAGGAATTCTTCTTCGCGACGGGAGAATTTTTACGACCGGTACTGACGGCACACGCTTGAGAGAACGTTTATAACTCCAATAAAATTTTTAATGGAAATTCCGATAATAGTTTTCAGCGGAACGGCCGGGGAAAGTGTCCGAACAAAATGTCGGGGGAGGAGGGGAACGTACGGCTGAATTATTCAGAAAGTATCGCGCCTAAGTGCGGCTGACGGATATGCTCGGCCAGACACGCCATCACTTGGCGCATTCATCATGGGCCGAGAATGCTCATTAACAGGCCGATACCGCCATCTGTATAAATAGCCGCTAGCTCGGCATATTTAAAATGAGCTCACGGCTTTCGCGGTGGATGAGAATAGTGGACTGTAAAAGTTAATGGCTCGTGTTACCGTGGCGCGCGCATTCGATGTTAAATGTGGCATACGCGATTATGGTTTATTCGTCTCGTATGAAAATCGTAGTCAATGTAACGCAGCGAGAACTAGGTAATCCCGTTTAATTAAACGAGCCGTTGGGATGCATATGGGCTGAAAGTGGTACTGGATACGGCGCATTCTACGGCAGAAAGGAACGAGGGTGATAAAGAGGGAGAAAAAAAAAGTCAAATGGCGGGGAGGCGCAACTTTAACATCGCGTACACAAAACTGCATACCCTGCATTCAAATGTTATTTCTTTCAAGTATCTCATAAGTTTGCGTATCCACAAACTTATCACAGCTTCATCGCATTAGCATCAAGCTTATACAAAATATGCTCTACGTCTTACAAGTAAACCTATCCAAAAGGTACACTCCGATTTCTTTCTAATTTGGCACAAATGTAAAAGCATAAAAAATATTTAGGTCATATTTTTTTCATTTTGGCCCACTTTGAGCTTCACGAGCGATTTATAGCTTTGAAATATTCTCATTCCTATCATCAACAAAGGCAACAAAAATGCATAGGAAATACAATTTTGAATACAAAATATAGTTAAATAATTTTAACCGGCATAATTGAAATAACCACTCTAAATTTCTTTAGCCGAGATTCCAACCGAAATACTTTAAATCTGTGCTAAATTAGTCAAAAATGATTCGAAACTCGGCCAAACCAAGAGGGAGAGAGAGAGAAATCCTGAAATATTAATTAATATTTTAATAAAATTAGCATAGAATTGGCATTAATTAATATTTTAATAAAATTGGCATAGCTGAGACACGAACTATTCTAAATTTCTTTAGCCGAGATTCTAACCGAAATATTTTAAATCTGTACTAAATTAGTCAAAAATGGTTCGATCTCGACCAAACCGAGAAATTATTTGTATAAATAATTTTTTTTAACTTTTTACATGTTTTGTTCAAATATTTTATTATTTATACAAATAATTTTACACATTTACACAGATTTGAAATATTTCGGGTGAAATCTTGGCTAAAGAAATTTAAAACGATTCGTGTCTTTGCTATGCCGATTTTGATAAAATTTTCATTAAAATTGCTGGATTTCTTTCTCTCTCTCTCTCTCTCTCTTGATTTGGCTGAGTTTCGAACCATTTTTGACTAATTTAGCACAGATTTAAAATATTTCGGTTGAAATCTCGGCTAAAGAAATTTAAAATTTGTGCTAGATTTCTCAGTTATGCCGATTTTGTTAAAATTATTTTGTTAAAATTATATCTTGTATTCAATTTTATTATTTATACATTTTTGTTGCACTTGTTGATGATAGGAGCGAGAACATTAAAGAGCTATAAACTGTCCATGAAACTCAAAGTGGGCTAAAATGAAAAAAATATGACCTAAATTTTAATTAAGATTGCCGGATTTCTCTCAATTTGGCCGAGAACTATTTTCGAACTATTTTTTACTAATTTAACACAAATTTAAAATATTTTAGTTGAAATCTCGGCTAAAGAAATTTAGAATGGTTCGTGTCTTAGCTATGCCGATTTTGTTAAAATTTTAATTAAAATTGTCGGATTTCTCTCTCTCTCCCTCTTGGTTTGACTGAGTTTCGGACCATTTGTGACTAATTTAGTACAGATTTGAAATATTTCAGTTGGAATCTCGGCTAAAGAAATTTAGAATTCGTGTCTCTATGCTATGCCGATTTTGTTAAAATTATTTAACTATATCTTGTATTCAATTTTATTTCTTATGCATTCTTGTTGCACTTGTTGATGATAGGAGTGAGAACATTAAAAAACTATAAATTGCCCGTAAAACTCAAAGTGGGCCAAAAATAAAAAAATATGACTATTTTTTGTACTTCGACATTTGCATATAGAAAGAAATCGGAGTGTAACTTTTGGGTAGGTTTACTTGTTAGTAACTTTAACATTTTCATGCAGAATATTAAATTTCAAAAAATATTCGATTGACATGCAATACAGAGTCAAACTAATTGATAAAATTCTTTGCTGAAGTTTTGCAATACTTCTGTAAAAAAATTAATTGCCTGTCTGTCTTAATAATCTGTTGAATTCATGATAACAAGCTTTTCTCACATTTGCTATTAGTAAATTTTTAAAGACTATTATCAAAAAATATTTTTTGTTGAAGATGATTAATACTCAAAAAAAAAAATATATAAATTTAAAAATGATATTTTTGTGTGTATATAGAATTCGCAATAAAAGAGATTAAATTTAGCATTCCCAGTCAGAAAATTAAATTAAAACAAAAATGTTGACTGCGTAGAAACGAACCAACTTTTTTTTTTACAATACTCTTACGAAGAAAACAAATTCTTCTTTTGAGTTCACGATGTTC